TATATTGAATACAATACTGATGTAGTTCATGACTTAAATGAGCCTTAAGCCATTCTGTTTACAGAGCAAATGTATTCTCTTACAGGGAGGGAAAAAAAATCAATTTTTGAATGGGAAAATAAGTCTGCCTTTTTTTTTTCCTTTCATATTCTCAAACTGTTATCACCTCTGTTATTTGCAAAACTGCTTTCATCATACCAGGACCGAATAGCAAAGGATTAGTTTGTTCAGTGAATCAGCACAAACTAAACAGTGGAACTATCATGAACTGGGTGGGCCCAATCTGTAATTGGGCAGGGAGTGCGAATCAGCTGGTCTTTTAATCATGTCTGCACCAATGAGTCAAATAGTCCAATTAGCCAAGGAGTAACTTCATCTAGAGTAACAATAGTTCTTTCTCTCCCCCATTATGGATGGAAATAACTATAGCTATGATTCTTCTCTGGGAAAAACACTTTCGGAACACAGTCCGAAGACTGTGCCTAGGGCATAAGATTGTGCCCTAAAGTGCAATCTAAATGCCACAGTTAAAGCAAAGGTGGATAGAGTATCTTAGCATGTAATGTAGCTCAAAGTAAAATAAAGTTTAGAAGTGCTGAAAAATTAAGAACTGATAGAAAAGTCTGCCAGCTGTCTAAGGAGATAATGATTTGCATGAAAATGCCCTGAGGAAAATCTGCATTATTTTACAGGTATATTACAACATGGCTCAATTTTTTTTCCCCAGTGAAAACCTGTTAACACAGTTTGAAAGCTAATTTTTATATTGGTAATGTTTTTGCTAGTTGCTAGACAGGGCTAGAGAAGCAGAGTGGTGGGAAAATTGGTGTGAAACTTTATGAGCTTGCCAGCGGGTGGGGAAGAAGTCCTGTAAGGGCAATTTTCAGTTGATGCAATAGTTTGCATTTTTGGATTGTGCAAAATAACCCTTCTTTTTTTCGTCTTCTCTTGATAGCTGATAGCTTTAGTTTGGGCAAAAGAGACCTGCAAAACAGAGCCCAAAAGAGAAAAGATTGCAATGCGTAAAAAACATACTGAGATCTGTGCAAATATGAAAACTGGCTGTGTTGAGGAAAGAAGGCCCATGTACTCTCTTGTGGATTATATCCAGGGGGGAAATTCAGCAGGTTCTGACAGGTTCTGGAGAACCAGTAGCGGAAATTTTGAGTAGTTCGGAGAACCAGCAAATATCATCTCTGGCTGGCCTCAGAGTGGGGTGGCAATGGGGATTTTGCAGTATCCTTCCCCCAGGAGTGGGGAGGGAATGGAGATTTTGCAGTATCCTTCCCCTGCCACGCCCACCAAACCACGCCCACCAAGCTACACCACGCCCACCAAGCCATGCCCACAGAAACAGTAGTAAAAAAATTTGAATTTCACCACTGATTATATCTCTCAATCATCCACCCTTCTGATCATCAAAAAACCCCGATGACTGAGAAATCATTGGTAAATATAACAATTACTCATTAATTTCCCCTCAGGCTGTGCTGAAAAAAAAAATCAGAACCACCATTTGATGGCAGCAAAAACTCAAGTTTGTATTTTTATGCTGCCATCTAATAAACAATTCAAACAGCACCATTTTAGTTCGGTGACAATAAACTGCTACAAATTAAGCCGAACACATCCTTTTAAAAATGCTGAAGTTGCGAGCTCACTGTCAGTGTGAGCTTGCCAACATTTTTCCTTCTTTCTGTAACATCTCTGTCTATGTACTTGTGTTGTAGGTTTGCTTTAGTTTTTCTTTCTCAGTCTTTGCTCCTAGCAATTCCTTGCAGACTTCTGGTCAATTACTAACCCCACCCGATCCTGCTTTAACTTCCAAATATAATCAAAGTCACCTAGATGCTGTTACCACCTGAGGGAATACCTTTATTAGAACCAATCAAAATGGTCATGAGAGATGGTGGAAATGTTTGAATCTGGCAGACTTTGCAGTGAGTGAAGCTTTTGTTAAGAATTACAGAAATATTTCTTCTGGGAGGTTGAACTTTTATAAAGTGGGTTTCAGAATGGAAGCAGGACTTTGAATTAATCAGTGATAACTGTTGCAGTGTCTGGTTACACCAAACATCCACAGACAGAGAAGAATTTGTTCCCCCACCAATGTCTGTAAAAACAAATTTGTTCCCCATGCGTTCCCTACCATAAACACTTCCCTACTGTAAACACTTTGCCATTCCAGTCTCAATAAAGTTCTCTTTTAAAGGTATGTGTTGAAGCTGTTAATAAGATCTGCAAGACTTTATGTGAGAGGAATCATTTATAGGTTATATGTGTGTTTATCTCCAGCCATAATCTCATGACTCAATAATGTACAAGATGTGGGGGTGGGGGGGTGGGGGGTAGTGAAAAGATCCATGATGAGATTAAAAAATAAGACAAAGAGAGAATAAAAATAAGATAATCATATTCATCCTAACAGCAAATATAAATAGTAAAAGATGAGGGAGTAGGTGAGAAAGGAGTAGAACTACTGTTAAGACAAGATCTCCTATCCCAAATTCTTTGTGCAATCTAGTAAGATATTGTAGTTGATGTCATCAGAAGCTACTGAGAAAAGGACCATAAGAAACATAACATCCCACTCTGAGAACCTCAAAAAAGGTCATCCAGGGAGCAATCTAAGCTATCTTACTTCCATGCTTGGGTCTGAACCCTGACTGAAAAAAATTATAGTTATTGTATAAATATATATTGATGAATGCTTGTCTTTTTCTTGCATTTTTGTCTTGGACCATGAATCCATTTTAATAAATATTTCTTCTAAAATGCTGCATAATTGATCCACTGCCATCAAGCACCTTCCCCATAGGAAAAGGTTGAAGGCTGATCAGTATTTATCAAAAGGCATAATTATGAGATTGCTCTCCATTTCATTTCCATAGCCTACCTAGATATTTTCCTCCCACTCCATTTTAGCACTCTTTCTCTCTCTTTGGAATAGGTGGACACATTTCCAAATAAAGCTATGAATTGCAATCATTAGTCACTTTTACTTTTTTAAGAATGCAAAGGAAATCAACACGGGCCCAAAAGCAATCTTATAAAGGTCAGAGACTAGTTCTTTACTTTGCAACAAGCTGGGATCCCATTTTTGAAAAATAGAATATTGTAAAAATAAACAACCCGGAGGCTACTTTTCCAAAGGCCTCTTAAACCTTGGGCTGACCTTTTTTTTAGCTTATGATCAAATCAAAACATATTTTAACTGTATGATTAATAGGGTGTGCTGATCACTTAAGATTTACTTTGATGAATCAAGTCAATTTACATTTTTATGTTGAGTCAGTTGGATTTGAATCATCACTCTGAAAAAAAAAATCTGTGTGTGTATCTGTGTGTATACTCAAAACTCCCCAGAATCACTGAGTCAATTGAAAGGACCAATTTGGCTGAGTGAATCCATTCAAAGGGATAATTTGTTTGAAGCTTCACAGAGTCCTAGGAAACAGGAACCATAACTTTAAAAAAGTGGAAAGGTTTAATCAAGAGGACAGTTTATAGCTGAAGCTAATGGGTGATTGCTGTAGTCCAAGATACTTGATGGCAGGAAGATGGCATTATGTGCTCTAATTTTGACTAGAGCAGTTCTCAGACAGTTATTCCGAATATCTGGAACCTTTGTAATGCAAAATATTCATCCCAGCACAGTGTTATGCGAAAAGCATATTAAAGCATATCTTGCAACCTTAAAAATAAAGATAAGTTATATATAGTGCAATGCATGCAAGGCAATGTTAGAAATGTAAATTGACTAATGTTAATCAAATTAAAAAATATCATGGAACAATGCAAGAAATAATGCACTGTAGAAAATTGTCAGACTATGTTTAGGTATGTTTATTAACAACAATTTCGTTTGATGGTTTATTCCCAGACAAATGATACCTTTAGCATAGGAAATAGTCTTACATAATGAAATCAATATAAAAATATGTAAGATCAGTCAAGAATCCCAAGGAAAGTTGGACTATAGAGTACAGTTTGCGATTTTTTTGTAAAGTTTTTTTTTTAAAAAAACACACAAACAAACATACAATACATCTTTTCTGAACAGAATATTGGCCTGGTCTTAAATTTGTACAGATTTTTGTTCATCTTTAACACAATTTTATATGTTCAATTTTTCTCATATCATTTATTCTCTCTAATTTTCAGAAACCAATATTACCCTTCATCTTAACTTCTCATCCTATTATAGTTCAATTTTTCTTTTTCCTCCTTAAAATTTGAGCCCCTAAATTGAAATTCACATAACATAGTACAATCCCCAATTATTTCCTTAAATTCTCTTATTCTAATCACCAATGATTCTTTTATCAACTATTCCAAATAACACAGTTCAACATATTAGTAAAAACCAATTAAATATATATCTTAACCCAAATGTTCCGACTATTACAATTTCATATATTAAACTTCTTATTTCTGGGTTTTATTTTAAATTCTTAAAAATCCCCACCTTTTGTCATTTCTTCATATTGACTTAAATAATTTATTATTACCATTCTATTACTTCATCAATTATTTATATTCTTATCTCTTATTTTAAAAATAATCCATTTATCATAATTTCACTGAATTAAACATATTCAATAAAAAATCAATTAAGTATCAATCTTACTCCAGTACCCCTAAATTTAAACTCATACAACATAATACAATTCCTAATTATTTTATTAGAATCTCTTGTTCCAATCTCAAATAATTTTTTCTTTATCAACAGTACAGTTCGTGATTATTACTAAAGGTCATATTTATATATTCTTTCTATCTCATTAAAAATGTGTTGGGAGATATTTTGGGTCACATTAGCCAAGCACCCTTGAAGCACTTAAGAGACCCAGGTGGAAGAAAGAGACCCAGGCCTCAGTTTCAAAAAGTTGCTCATCCTTGTTTAATATAACAAGAGTCCTGCATAAGAAATATTTATTAGTCTTTGCAATTCTGTAATGCAACCACACCTTAGAATTGTTGTATTCTTTTCCTCTTACCTTGGTGGACTTCAAGTCCTTCCTTGTGGTTTTTGTTTCATTTGTTTTTTGGGGAAAATAGTTTTCACATTTATTTTTAATCTAGCTGAAAATGGTGCCAAATAGAGAAGGCCTGTAGAATTCGGTGGATTTCAAGAGCTCTGTAAGATAGCTCAGTTGACAGGAACATTTTGCCTGTCCTCAATGTAGGAGGTAGGAGAAGTGTTAAAAGCAACATAAAAGTTTCCTCTTTTCTTTTTGTGGCCTCCAAGCTACTGGAAAATTGAGAACCTCTAGGTCAAGTCTGCTAGTGACATCTTAAGGCTGAGACTAGAATTGTTGCATTGTTTGATTTAATAGACTTGCTCTTTGTGCACATTTGGGCTGCCAATATTTGTCAATATTAGTCAATATTTGCAAGATTCAGCATGAAAGTACTGTTACTGAAAAATTGCATAGACTTTATGAAGCTTGTTATTTATGAATTCGTTTTAAAAGAAAAACAAACCTAAGTTTAGAAATCAGGGTGTACATTTATTAATCATATTAATTTATAATCAGTAAAGTGATGTATGCAACTCCTGAGTTTGAATTCTTGACCCCCATCAAACCATAAAGATCACCTTAAACTAATTTATGAATCTACCAAATATCCAAATGGAAAAGGGATACAAAAATGTTGCCGCTTCTTAACTAGTGACATCTCCATGACGTTTGGTAGCTGGAAACAAACAAACAACAAAAAATGTGTGAAGCTGTAAAAAAAAAATCACATGTCCCTCAATTGGCTCTAGAAGAGGTATTGGAATACTGCTACTGTAATACTAGTGATAATTGTAACAATTGCTGTTCACTGAAATGATTCGTTAACTTGAGGAAAGACAAGTTAAAAGTAATGTGATAGCCATCTTAACTGATGAAAAAATATCACAAAGAAGGCCACAAGTGTTCCAAGTTTCTAGTGTTCCTATACGTAGGACAAAGAATAGTGGATTTAAGTTATAGAGAGATAGATCCTAGAATGATGAATGCTAGGAATAACATCTTAAGAGTAAGAGCAATTTGACAGTAGAAGCAATTACTTCAATCATGGAGCTGGATATGGTGGCCATTGGGGGTCTTTTATTTCTATGAGTCCATAATATGATACAATCTTATATAAATTTATATAACATTAGAAAATGTATTATCTACAGTAGAACAGGGTTGAACCATGGAATCCTTAGAGCTTTCTGACCCGAGTTGTTTGTTTGCAGATGTTTCATTACTTACCTAAAGAGCACTGCTAATGTTATCTAGTCAGGTAATGAAATGTCTGCATGCAAACAAACAACCTCAGAGGGCACCAAGGATTCCACAGTTCAAACCTGTTCCAGATAATACATTTTCTAATGTTACATAGAATTATATAAGATTATATCTATCAATCAATTAATTAATGGAATAGCTTGTCTCCCGGAGTAGTGGATGGTCCATTGCTGGAGATTTTCAAAAATAGACTGGCAATCATTTGATCAGGATGGTATAAGGCTGTGATGGCGAACCTATGGCATGCGTGCCACAGGTGGCACGCGGAGCCATATCAGTGGGCACGCGAGCTCAGCACTGGCATGCATGCGTGCGCTGGCCAGTTGATTTTCGGGCCTTCCGGTCCCACTGGAAGTTGGCAAATGGGCTGTTTCTGGCCTCTGGAGGGCCTTTGGGGGGGGCTGTTTTTGCCCTCCCCAGGTCCTAGAAAGCCTCTGGAGCCTGGGGAGGGTGAAAAACGGGCCTACCGGGCCAACTGTGCCATTGCGTGCCAAAAGCAGGGGGAGCACGGGGTGTGTGTGTGTCACGCGTGCATGTACGGGGGGACAGGGTGCATAGAATTATGGGTGTGGGCACACGCACGCGCGATCCTCCCGCACTCCCCCTGCTTTTGGCACGTGATGGAAAAAAGGTTAGCCATCATTGGTATAATGTCTCCTGCCTTGAACAGGGGATTGGACTAGAAGACCTCTGAGATCCCTTCCAGACCTATTTTTCGATAGAAAGGTTGCCTTTTTAAATTATTTTTTAAAGTATCAATTTATCAAAATATCAAAACTTATCCCAAAAAGAATATAAGTGCTTTTGTTTCCACATGGAGACCGCTTCTGAACTTCGTGCTTGAAGTGGAAAAGAACCAGGGGTGAAATTCAGCAGGTTCTGACAGGTTCTGGAGAACCGGTAGCGGAAATTTTGAGTCGTTTGGAGAACTGGCAAATACCACCTCTGGCTGGCCCCAGAGTGGGATGGGAATGGAGATTTTGCAATATCTTTCTCCCAGAATGGGGAGGGAATGGGGATTTTGCAGTATCCTTCCCCTGGAGTGGGATGGGAATGGAGATTTTGCAGTATCCTTTCCCTGCCACGCCCACCAAGCCACTCCCACGAAGCCACACCATGCCCACCAAGCCATGCCCACAGAACCGGTAGTAAAAAAAAAAAATTGGATTTCATCACTGAAAAGAACGAAACTTTGATTTTGTTTTACCAAGTAGATTGATAGTTCTTTATAGAAATGGCTTGTTCGTATTATTATGAAAAAGCAAAAAGTTGTGATTTGATGCCAGTGCCTTATTTTACTGCAACAGAGTTGGAAGTCAAGGCTTCTCTTTCTTTTTCTTAGCCTTCCTCACTTCTCTTCCCCCTCTTCCGCCCCACTGCTTTTCTATTTACTTTTGTATCTTGTATCTTATTTTATAACTCAATAAAAATGTTAAACTGAAAATATCAAAACCTATCCCTTGTTAGCTTGAATCTCTACTACCGTGTTTTCCCAAAAATAAGACCCTGTCTTATATTTTTTTGAACCCCGAAATAAGCGCTTGGCCTTATTTTGGGGGATGTCTTATTATTTTGGGGTGCGTGGAGGAAACCAGAGGAAATGGTGGGGATCGGCTGCGCAGGCATTTAAATATTTTCTGGGAGGGCTTATTTTTTTTTGGGGGGGCTCATTTTAGTGCAAGCACTCAAAAGCCCGATTGGGCTTATTATCAGGGGATGTCTTATTTTAGGGGAAACAGGGTACTTATTGCAAAATGAGATGACAGACAAGAATAGCTGTTTCAGAAATGGTTAAGAAATCGATCTTGAGCATCCTGTCTTACAATACAAGCCCTACAATATAAGGGCTCACAAGAAAGTTTCTTTTCCATGCTGTCCATGAGCTTATTCTGTACATTTCTTGAATTTCTAATGATTCATCATCATCTAGATCAATATAAAGTCATTCGTCTTGTCTCATTTTTTCCTCCTCTTTTTAACTCATTATCCTTAACTTTCCATTTTTAATAAAGTGGAAATCTGCAACATTGAAGGAACTGCTTGAATTGTGCTCATGTCAAGGATGAATTAAGATTCCTAAGGGCAGCACTGTGGCAAGATCTGAGTCTTCCATTTCCTTGTTATGGCTACTAAGGTATCCATTCGACAATATAAAAAAAAAAGTGGGGTAAAACTGCAAAGTCCTATGCCATGTGTGCCGGAGGTGGCACGCAGCACCCTCTCTATGGGCATGCGAACCATCACCCCAGTTCAGCTCCACCGTGGATGCGAGTGCACCTCCCGCCGGCCAGCTGGTCTTTGGGTCTCTGCCGCGCATGCACAGGGGGCAGGGTGCGTGCAAGGGGACCGCATGTGCAGGGGCCGTGTGTGTGGGGGGGCACACAGGTGTGTGCAGGGGGCCACATGTGCATGCACAGGGGGGCAGGCCATGTGAAAGGTGCCACGCACATATGCAGGGGGCCCACACGCAAATGCGCAGGGGTGGGGTACATGAACGGGGGCCGCGTGCGCATTGCATTTTGGGGGTTCGGGCGTGCGTGTGCACATTCGCTTGCGTGCGAGCATGCTTTGGGCACTCAGTCCAGAAAAGGTTAGCCATCACTGGTCTATAGCATTGCAAATCTCGGTGTTCTCCATGAAGTCCTGCAGTGTATCATCCACTGAGTTTATAAACTTCCACACTTTGGGCCATGTACTGAATTCAGCCTAGCATATCTCTGCCATATGGCCAGATGTTAAAGCAACTGTAGAGAACTTTCACTGGCTGAAAGTTAATCATATTATACCGGTATTATGAGATGGACTTTGTTTTCTGTTGCTTAATCACTTTTCTTCAAAAAACTTTAAAAAAACCCATCCCAGTTGAAAAATATATTTAAGCATAATGTATCATTGCGGTGCAGAGAGCTTGCATATCACCTCTTATTTTTCACACCGGTTATCTTTCCTGTTTATCTAAAGAACTATACACAGCCTCTAGGTTAATAGGCTGGCCATCACAATGACATAAACATACCAGTTTCCTACAATCAAATAACCAATGCATCAGGCTCTGAAAAAGTGAAAGGCAGGGAGTGTGGTTAGAGAACCTAATTGTGGCATCATATTCCTGTGTGGGAGTTCACTGCTCTTGTAATAGAACACCGGCATAGTTGTGGGTAAAACAAATTGTATCTGGCACCTGTGTGCCAAATACTTCTAATTTATAGTCCTGTACATAGCGTGGGTGGCACCAGCACAGAACAGAATTTTCATCTGAAATCTTGACTGTGGATTAGCACACCAAAACATGCTAAAAATGAGATTCCAGCCCAAATGAAGCTGAATCTTTTCTTTTCATTATTCCAGGCCATTATATATTTTCTTGAAGTTTGCTTAATCTAGGCATTCTAGGTAACTCAACTTCTGATTCACTTTGCAGGATGCAATGTATTCTCCAATTCAAACACTATTTCGTTCCAGATCTCTTTTAATCATTTTTGAACGGGGCTGAGTAGGAGGTTCATTCTCATTACAATTTCCATGATTTAGTACTGATACTGTGTCTTTTACTAGTGGGAGCAAGTTCAGCGTAATGGAACTCATTATGCACATTTTTTTTTGTCACGTTCAACATTACCTTTATCCAGAGGTGAGAAACATTTGTGGGCAGATGTTTATAGTGACAGTCCTCCCCTTTCACCCCATAGATCGGGGTCTCCAATCTTGGCAACTTTTAAGACTTGTGGACTTCAACTCCCAGAATTCCTCAGCCAGAGAAGTGGTTGGTTAGCATTTTTTTTAAGCTTGACTTTCAGTACACACCTGGATAGCTAAGAATAATCATGTTTAAAAAGCCAAGTTAAAAATTTGTTGGGTCAGGCAGGATTCGTGGTGACTCTCTGCACATGTCTATAGATGCAACTGCAACAATGAATGATTTGTCGTTATCTTCTTTCAGGATAGTTGTGGCTTTCCCTGCCAACAACAATGGTATGTAGGACGTTAGCACCCACCCCTTTCCTAGAAGAATGAAATATTTTAGGAAATATTAAGAAGGCAGATTATGTTTCCCTGTATGAGAAATGGAGAAGCATGTTTTAAAGACAAAGCAGATCCCACCTTCCTGCCTCCCCCCCTTTTGGGCCAGAGGCAGAAACTCAATCTTTGCCAATGGACCATCTTCTGCAACACAATAGAACCCATCTAGCAACAGAAACTCACCACATGGCACCTGGGAAGATTACATCAGCCAGCAAGGCTAGGTAAGACCCCCACCTCCTGGGAGTCTGACAACCGATCAGGATACTCTTTCGGGGCCCCAGGAAGTTCAAAGCCAGAGAGGGCATAAAACCTGGGGACTCTCAGCATCTCGGCCCCTTTTCTGTTCAGGAACTCAAACCATGTGATCCTGTCCACCATTAAACCATCTTTCCAAGCAGTCTCCATGTTTCCAGTGTCTTTTTCCCCACTTGGAGCTGAACCCAAGAAGATGGATATTTCTTCTTACAGGTATCTCAGGGGCTTCAGGTATGAATCAAGTTTGACCCTGCTTACCATTTTCAAGATTAGCCAAGGGTGGTGAGGTGCTAACATTGGCTATGATAAGCAAAAACGATCAAGTGTATGTGACTTTAATGTCCCCTTTTCTGCAATCCAACACCACAGACTGTGACTGTAGAATAATTAGAGAGGATAGAGAATGAAGTTATGTGGAAAAAAAAACAGTATAGTACCTAAGAAAAAAAAGCTTCACTGTAATTTATACCCTGTTGTTATTATATTTGACAAAATACTGCAGTGAGCAGAGATAATAATGAATCATTTTAGAGGCAGGAGATGATTTTAATGCAAAAAAAAATAATCACTCATTTATTTATGCAATTTATATACCACCTGAATCCTAGTAGACTCTAGGCACTATACAGATACTAATAAATTAAAACAAATACCAGTAATACTAATCATAATACAGACAATGAAAATTAACAATAGTGCTAGTCACTTCACATTAATTAATTCCTGAAGAATTTTCTGGAATTCTCAAGTCTTTACAAGCTTCCAGAAGGCCGTGAGAGTGAAAACCATCCAGGAGGAAGCTGTCCCAGAGAACAGCCCCAACAGAGAATAACTTATAACTTCACAGCCCTCTCACACCTCATTTAGCAAGCATTCTCTGGCTACTTGGACTGGGTGGGAAGGATCTATCTGGGAAAAGCAGATCCTTAGATACCAGGACTGAGACCCCCTATAGGGCTTTAACAGCAACCAACACCCTGAATTGCATCCAGAACACCCAAGCTCTTTCAGCAAAGGTGTACTATGGCAGTAGCATGACTGCATGTTGATCAATACATTTCCAACAGTTAGATCAGTGTTTCTCAACCTTGGTAGCTTGAAGATGGGTGGACTTCAACTCCCAGAATCCCCCAGCCAGCAGCGCTGGCTGGGGGATTCTGGGAGTTGAAGTCCACCCATCTTCAAGCTTCCAAGGTTGAGAAACACTGAGCTAGAATTTCTGGGTGATCTTCAAGAGAAGTACCATGTACACTGAATTACAGTAATCTGAGAGATGGGTAAGGGCAAGTTTGACGGCTCTCAGTTCAAGATCATTGGGGCCACAGCTAGAGTTGGGCAAAGGCTCTTCAATCTATGGTCTCTGCCTGCTCTTGACTTTACCCAAGAGATTGCAAAGCCCTTTTTTTTTTTTTTTTTTTGGAGAAACACAAACGCAAGTGTTAAAGTTTGAATTGTCCTGGTGGAATCACTAAGTTTCTGAATCAATAGTTCCTCCCATCTGCTTGGTTCAGCCTGAATCAATTTTTCAATTTCTCCTTTCCAAGTTTTGACAGTTACCAGGCACAGGATTATCTGTATCTCCCACTGGGTTTGGAGTGGAGATACATAATCTGCCTGTTGATGATCTCATACCAAACTGATCTCAAATTGATGGATTATTTCTTACAACAGCTTCATATAGACATTAAAAAGGATAAGAGGCAGACTGCAATCCTCGGGTAGCTCATACCACGGCAACTGAAGATGTGACCCCTGCCTCTTTCTCACCCCTGATCTGACCTATCAACTCAGGAAGGAACCTCATAGTAATGGTTACTTTCAAATCCCAGCACAAGTTGTCCACAAGAATGACCAATGTGATTTCTATTGCATGACTAACCCATATCCTCCAAAATTTTCTATAATTTTTACCCTGCCAAAGTAGGGTAGTCTTAGTAGTCTTTCCCACAGAGGAAGATTGGAGATATGGGCAGACCAGCAATGGTTTCAGAATTGCCAAAACCTCCACTTGTAATAAAATTGAGCTCAGGAAGATTTTGCAATGAAGCTGGAAGGATAGTAGCATCTCTAAACCTGACCCTTTGGCCTAAGCTCATAAAGAAGGTCTTATATCTGGCTATTTGTAGTACTGTCCTTGCAATAACCACACCCTCCCAGTGCACAACTGTTATTCCATTTCTCTTGCTATGTGATGGGGACTGATGCAGCACACAAAACATGGTTGAACAGATTTCAGCAACAGAAATTCCTCCCTTTCATCCAGCCAGCTCTCGGTCAGATCCATCCACAATTACATTGTCAACGAGGCTACATTATTATGAGTGGATCTGGCATTCAAAAGCATCATTCTAAGCCTTGGCACCCAGTTAATCAGATGCCCAAGGTTTAGGGACATTAGCATCACATTTCCAATTTCCCTTTTAGAATGGCTCCCTTACCCACCCGCCCCATATTTGTTCTTGACTATCTTCCTACTATCACTAATCAAGGAGAGAAGCAACCCGGAATTAAGGAGAAACTTCCTAACAGTGAGACAATTAACCAGTGGAACAACTTGCCTTCAGAAGTTGTGGGTGCTTCATCACTGGAGGTTTTTAAGAAAGACTGGACAGCCACTTGTCTGAAATGATATAGGGTCTCCTGCTTGAGCTGCTTGGACTAGAAGACCTCCAAGGTCCTTTCCAGCTCTATTCTGATTGATTTTTGTCTTGTATAAGTTTCCTTCTTCTAAACAGACCAGACATAATCCTCAGTGCATGTTACACTTTATTCTCCCTTTCATCAACTATCCTTACACAACTCCTTCAACTTCTCTGCAATCCAAATTCATCCAGTTCCCTTCACCTCCAACAACTATACTTCTGTTCCCATTTCCAATTCCCCAACTGGTTCTCACTCAGGCCAGAATCAAGGGAAGACATCTTTTCTAAATCTGTGTTCAGAACACTTCTTTCTTCCTCCCCCATTTTCTCAACTTTCTACAATTCCATTTAGGAAACATGGTTGCACCCTATCTTCTTCTACCAGGCTCATCTATTCTCTTCTGTGGTCAGTATGATATACAACACTGCAACCCAACCTTCTGTTTTCAGGTCTTTTACCTTACTTCATCTTAGTTCTTTCTATTTTTTTTAAAAATATAGTTTTCTAAGTTGTAAACATGTAACTTAGGAGCAGTGAAGGGGCTGATGAGTATTATAAACTGGTAGAGGTGATAATTTAGTGGCAGTATCTACTTTGTGAAACCAAAGAACCCATGATCTATAGATAAAGCTCAAAATGCTAGGGCTGGAAACCTCCTTCTGGGCCAAGAATGGTGCTTGACCTTTGAATGTTCGAATGTAGGAAAAAAAATCTAGTGAGCAAAAATATAAAAACAACTTTCTTCATATAATTTAACTTACATTTAAATAATATATTAACAGTATTACTCTTCTATCACTTATTGGCTATTTCCTCATTTCTCTCATATTATGATAATGTGATAATAAAATTAATTAGTCTCTTGGGACCTCATCTAAAACTTTACAGGATCATTTGTAGCACTGGAGTCTCTGACTGTTCATCCTTTGCCTTAGATGGATTACAACTTTTGCCTGATACAAGACTATATTCTTAACTTTTCACTGAAAAATCAGTCATCTGTTTTATACAAACAATACCTATATAGATTTGTATACCTAAGTATACATGTATAAACATTTGCTTGTCCACATGCAACACTTTCAACCTACTCGATTTCCAGAATTTAAGAAACTGAAATTCCAAAGTTTAAGAAACGTAAATTTTAACTAATTCTACGTTACTGTTTACTGAAGAAATCTTGGTACCTTAGTGGGATGTACCTCAGGAAGTGTTTTCTTTTCTAAGCTAGCATTCATGTACATGTACTGAAACAAAGCAGCTCAATTCACTGTTGTTGTTTTTTACAGGAAATACTCATTAGACATACAGTACCTGTTCTTTAATCCTGTCCTTCCTCTCAAACCTCAGCTTGAGTTCTAGCACCATCTACAGGTGACAAAAAAAAATCACTACTAGTGTAATGGAGTGCATTTCTTCCCATAAACTGCACATAATCTGGAAAATTACTTTATTAAGGTGTTGTAATACAATGACTGAACATTGTCCAGCATTGTCCATGCTGAACAGATCCTATATCTGCCTGCAACTTTGGGAATGGTACCAGCAGGCTGTACTATATAAATGATTGTGTTGGGCTCAGTGGAACATATACTGTGCAGTCCTAATTGTTATGGTTACACCATTTAAGCTGCTTTGTTGTATGCTGCAGAAACGAAGGCAACCTTCAAACAAAACCAGGATCTCAAAATAGGTTTTGCTTCCATTAAATAGTGAAAGTGTCCCATTTTTTGTGTGTTAAGAGTCGGATATGGTACATTTTTCAGCCAGGAAGCTTGCCACATTCCCTCCTTCTCTTGACAACACTGTGTTCTTGCTTCTCCTCCCAAGTGAAAAGTGACATCTATTTCCCATAAACCAACTGGTGCAGGAAGGAGATAATAAGTGCATTCCATGCTAAGTCATAGGCCTGGTTTAGGGTGATGCTCAAATGTATCTTGTAGGTGCCACATCTGGAAAAAAAGAGGATCCCTGATACACGTGGAGCTGGCCTACACTCATCTGAGGCACCGCAAAACTGGTCTGCTGCAGATGTGGTTCAGATGTATTGTAGACCATCCGTACCATGCTGGTCCACCTAGTCTTGATATAGAAATCAGATATTCAAAAAATAGTAAACTGCCCTGAGCCACTTAATTTAAGTTGCCTACTTAATACTGTCAACAACAACAACTGATAATTTTTCTCCCCACTTTCTTCCATGACAGACTTGAATGTTACATGTCAAACTGCTTTTGAAGACAGAAAGCCACTTTTGGGAATTATATTGCAACATTATATCCAGCTATTGTTCTTTAGCCCATCTGAAGTCATTGATCACAGTGGAGAACAATCCAGCAGTAATTACAATGTAAGACTGTTCTCAATATTAAAAATGCATCATTTATACATTCAACATGATTTTAAAGACTGAGATATGAAAAGAAAAGAAAAAGGAAAGGAAAGGGGAGGGGAGGAGAACCCAAGAGCCAATGAACAATTTTCAATGGTTTCCATTAAGGCTAAAACTAGTTTTGAAGATTGACAGCATTTCCCACGCAGTCTGACACACTGGATATTTCTTTAAGCCTAGAACAAAGTTGGATAAGTTATGCTAAAGAGACATTATTTAAGCATGATATTGTCTAACAAGACCTAAAAGCAAAAAGGAATCTTGTGCAACAGGACTTATCCCCAAGAGCATCTATTCCCACCACGATTCATCCTTAAAGCCAGCAGTATCACCATATTACTCACGAATGCATACTACACTCATTTCGAGAAAGGGGCACCAGGCTGACCATGCCTGCTTCACTTAGCAGCCTCCTCTAGAATTGCACTCTAGGACTAACTGGAGCAAACAAATGACTTTTTCAGCCTCCAGTCTAATCTGGTATGGAATCTGCAGGACACAACAAACTCGCATGGGCTCCACTTTGGATGATGGAGTAGGTTTGCTTTGGCACATCTGAATGAGAAGAGGATGAAAAGATTGGCGGAGCTGATGCTCGTACTGAGATGTTCTGCTCTTCAGCACTGACCACTGTCACTTCTTCTGCTCCTTCTTGAATTAAAGCATTGAGCCCTTCCAAATCCGAGCAGCTGATCCCGGTGCCATTGATGAAGGCCTGATTAGCTGAGACCTCATGGCTACCTACTGGAATGGTGGAGATCAGGGTCTGGTTTGATGTGCTTGCATCAGCTTGGTTGTGAGTTGTGAGAAGGACTGTGGGTTGACTGACCGAAAGGCTTTCTGCCGGAGACCCAACAGGAAGGGGTGGAGCCAATAAGCTTACCTGCTGCAATATTTGCAGCTGGTTACTGCTAGACAGATCATCTTGATTCTGAGTTATTAAGGTAGGAGACACAATATTGACTTGACCTCCTTGTTCCAAGCTGCTGCCCTGGGGTAGCTGATGCCCAACAATGATCTTGACCTGCCCTTCCCCATAGGGGGAAGTGTGCAGTGGCATCTGCAGATGACTAACTGTAATAGGAGTATCACCATGTGAGGTGGGATCCATCTGGAACTGCAGGACAGCCAGCTCTGAAGTTTTAGTTCCATTATAGTCAACATGTTGCCTTTTATGGCTCCTCAGAGAGTCCTCCCGGACAAAGGAGGCCTCACAGAGATCACATCTGAAGGCTTTCCTGGCCTCCAGCTTAGCAACTTGTCTGGAGTTGCCTTCCTTTGGCCGATCACTTTCCACTTGACCTGATAACTTTTCTCTGATCCTGATCTTATCGGGATGGGTTTTCTTCACATGGGTGGTCAAATTGCTCCGTTGCTTGGTATCAAAGCGGCAGAACTCACACTTGAAAGGGCGATCCTTGGAGTGGATCCTCTCGTGTACTTTGAGGGTCGCCTTGTTGGAACAGGAATAGCTGCACTCCGAGCATTTCACGGGCTGCTCGGGCTGGTGGATGCGCAGATGCTGCCGCAGACTTGTCTTATTCCCGCACTGGAACTTGCAGATGAGGCATTTAAAGGCATTCTCCATGTTGTGCTTGATGCGGATGTGGGACTTCAGGTTACCTTTCATGGCACACCGGACCTCGCAGAACTCACATTTGTAAGGCTTCTCACCTGTGTGCACACGCATGTGCCTCTTCAAGTCAGAGTTGATTTTAAATTTGGCAGGGCACAGACGGCACTGGAAAGGAGCATCTCCTGTTTGGGAGACAAATGTTTGCAATGGCAATATTTGCGTGACAGGGATTGAGATTAATTCTAGCCAAATGAAACTCATGATATTTACTAACAAAGTAATTGGAAAACTATGTACTTACTAGGGCTATAGAGGTGCTACTTTTTGGGCCAGTGTTTTTCAATCTCAGCCTCTTTAAGATGTGTGGACTTCAGTACCCAGAATTCCTTAACCAGCCAGCATTCTGGGAGTTGAAGTCCACACATGTTAAAAGTTGCTGAGGTTGAGAAATATTGCTTTAGAAGGTTTGAGGGCCCACCTGCCACTCCTCAAACCACACACAAATGCTGGAATTGGTGGTATTACCTTTGGGTCGTCACATGTTCCAAAGTACCTCTGATGAGATTGTAATTCCCAAAATTCCCAGGTGGCAATAGACGGGCTAGCTAAAAATGTTAAAACATACTCAGTTCTAGTTTGAGAAGCGTGTCCTTTAAAGCATATCTTGTTTAGAGCAAAAGAAACGGCATTTAGAAATATGTTTTGGGTAAAGCTGCTTTTTGAAAGACCCAACTTTCATTGATCCATTTACTGATCTGGTATATAGGCTTTTGTTTATTTAGCTGCTATCTTACTGGAAAAATTGCATTCAGGTGTTGATTAAAAAAGAAAAGAAAAGAAAAGTACACTACAAAGAGAAGTTTATAGAGAAAAATGCCAGTGCGAAAAGGCAAGGGAGCTCTTTGTCCAACAATGTATTGATAATTCTTGCAGCACATCGACAGCTGTTATGAGCTCCATCTTGTTAATAAATGATGGTTATTGTTAATACTTAAACAAACAAAAAATACTATTGATTTACTGCCACTTTCCGCCATTTGAACAGCTTGTGTATTGGTTGCCCCCCCCCGCAACTCCCTTGTACGCATACCACAAGCTGAGTAAGTCACAGGATGCTATTTAAAACAGAAATAAAATAGAGGCAGCTCCTTAATACAGTGAATTTGTTATTCTTTAATAACTGCGACACATGAGGCTTAATTTACTTTGCAAGTTAATATTTTATAGATTTTCATAAATGGAAGATTGTAAAAAGATGCATAATTGGTTTAGCCGGCTGCATGTTTCATTGATTCCAACTAAAGATTTTTGAAATCGTGACATGGCGTGCTGTGGTAATCCATGCATGTATTTAAAGATTAAGGCCCTTGCTATAAAATGTTTATTATACACATTATATTAATGAAGTTGCACCGACTGACAGTTCTGTTCTTTGTATTGGCTGGCCCTGCCTATTTTTGCCTACACCGATCTCCTTTTTCTGAAAAACAGCTGCAGCATTGCACAAAGTCTCCATTTTAGGATGCCAAACTATATTGGGGGGAAAAAAAGTAGCAATATTTAATTGCTGTCAGTGCATTTAAGTTTTAGTCCATCTATCTCAGTGAATTTTAAAGTATCTGGCTTTAGTAAAAATGGCTTTAAAAAAAAAAGCCAAGGAGGAGCTTTAATCTTACAAGAAGCTTGGTTGTGAGATAGAACAGAATTTTACCAGCCAAAAATCAAGGTATCGCAGGCGAGCCCTTTAGACCAGGGATCCCCAATCTGTGGGCCATGGCCCACTACTGGGCCATGGCCTAATCGCCACTGGACCTTGTGAGTGGCTGGTTGGTGTGCGCATACGGCCCAACTTGCATGAGTGTTGTTGCGGGCGTTTGTGGTCCCACTTGCACGAGTCTCATTGCGGGCGCTTGTGGCCCCACTCGCGCAAGTGTCACCGCAAATGTTTGTGCATGTTCCTCCCACAAATTATCTCCTCTTCCCCCCAGCTCTGGGCTGCCAACCCAGAAAGGTTGGGGAAACTCTGCTTTAGACAAACAAATTGTGCAGCAATAATATTAAAGCTGGAGAGGACTGCGAAGGTTGGGTACAACCCCTAGAAACCTGGCCTTGTGGGAAAGCTCACAGTCCAGCACAAACCACTGATCTAAGATGGGGGTCTGATTGGAGAGAGGAGAAATTATAACATCTGAGGGACCAATATTGAAAGTTTTCTAGATCAGGATCTTAAGAGAGATTCCCTCCCCCCTTTTAAGCTTTTATTTACAATATTAATAGCAGACTCAAGCACTGCATTATATCATGTTTTGCTTAAAAAGAGTCTACTGATACCCACAGGGGCTTTGGCACAATTTGTTAAATAAAAATGAAAAGACCCACACCTGGTAGAGCAGGATGCAGGCGGACCTTGATGTACATTTCGTTTAGCGACCGTTCAAAGTTACAACCACACTGAAAAAAGTGACCTATGACTGGTTTTCACAGTAATGATTGTTGCAGCAACTCCATAGTCATGTGGTCAAACTTTGGATACATGGCACCTGTATTTATGCCAGTTGCATTGTCCCGCTGTTATGTGAGCACCATTTATAATCTTCTCAGGAGGCTTCCAACAAGCAAAATCAATAAGGGAAGCCAGGTTTGCTTAATGACCAGATGATTCACTTAATGACTGCAGTGATTCACTTAACAACTGTGGCAAGAAAGGTCATGAAATGGGGGCAAAACTGACGGAACAACTGTCTTGCTTAGCAATGGAAACTTTGGGTCCAATTGTGGTCGTAAGCCGAGGACTACCTGAAGTAGTCCTCAACTAACAACAGTTCATTTAGTGACCGTTCAAAGTTACAACGGCACTGAAAAAAGTGACTTATGACTGTTTTTCACACTTACAACCGTTGCGGCATCCCAATGGTCATGTGATCAAAATTCATTTGGCAGTTGGTTCATATTTGTCCTGGTGTCAGGTCATTTGCGACCTTCTGACAAGCCAAGTCACTGGGGAAGCCAGATTCACTTAACAACTGTGTTACTAACTTAACAACTGCAGTGATTCACAAATGTGTCAAGAAAGGTTGAAAAATGGGGCAAAATTCACTTCACGAGTGTCTCACTTAGCAATCTAAATTTTATGGCTCCATGGTGGTCATAAGTTGAGAACTACCTGTATTGCCTTTATACAATTTTATTATTTTTATTCGTATACTGCCCATCACCCTTGCATGGCTTTGGCCAGTTCACAAATTTGATAAGTCATTGAAAAATAAGTAAATTCTAAAATAACATCTATATTTTTGTTCTAACACTATACATTTGTCTTGGCTACCCTCTTATAGATAAATGTATGTTTAAGAACTATATGTTTATATGAGTACTAATATTATTGTAAAGTGACAGAAGATGTTTGGAACCAGTGATGTCATATCTATGTCCAATGTTTTTTTAAATGTTGTATTATTAATAAAAAACTTTTTTAAAAAAACAAAAAGAAAAATAAGTGAAGTCTGTTGAATCGAGTTGCAATCTTAAATGTGCAAATATTTTTTCGTTCCCAAAACCATCTTGGGGTTTTCAGAGCTAAATTGACACCCCCTCCCCCGGCTCCCTGCCTTACCGGTATGAGATCTGAGATGAACGGTGAGCTGGCTGGAATTGCGGCTGGCGTAAGGACAGATCTGGCATTTGAAAGGACGCTCGTCAGAATGGATGCGCTGGTGCTTGTTTAGGCTGCTGCTCTCGGCTGCTGCGTAGTCACAGTGCTTACACTTGTAAGGTTTCACTCCGCTGTGGGAGCGCATGTGCATTTTCAGCTTGTCTTTTCGACTGAAACTCTTGCCGCAAACTTCACATTTATGGGGCTTGTCACCTGAAGAAGGGAAAGAAATGTAAAGCACCGAGGGGGAAGGTTTTCCTCTTTTCCAAGATGAAATGGAAATTATCGTTCAAGGAGGTGTTTTTTTTTAATCATGCTGTTTACCTTCCCTTAGAAAATTAGGGATATGCGCAGGGATACAGGTAAGCCCCCACCTTCGAATAGTCACAATAATTTGATTCAGTCTAAGAGAAATTTATTATTGATAGATTACAAATTATTATTTATAAAAGAATTATTATTATTCCTAATGTCTACTAACATTCATATCAATTATTATTATTCCTAATGTCTACTAGCATTCATATCACCAAATGACTATAACAGTGTGCAGCAGTTCAGAAAATAAGACTCCCTTATCATTGTTCACCCCCATCTCAACCCCAGATTACAAATGTTTTGCTGGAAAAGGATACAAATTCTAAGAAATCTATTTCCACTGACTCAAAAATAAAACCATTTACGAATAATCCTCGATTTACAACCATTTGTTTAGTGGCCATTCAAAGTTACATTGGCACTGAAAAAAAAGTGACTGATGATTGTTTTTCACACTTACGACCATTGTAGCATCCTTGTAGCAGGTACTTATGACGGTTGCAGTGTCGTGTGTGTGTGTGTGTGTGTGTGTGTGTGTGTGTGTGACGTGATTGCTTTTTGCGACCCTTTGACCAGCAAAGTCAATGGGAAAGCTGGATTCACTTAACAGTCATGTTACTAATTTAACAACTGCAGTGATTCGCTTAACAACAGTGGCAAGAAAGCTTGCAAAATGGGGCAAAATTCACTGAACTATTTTGCTTAGCAATGGACATTTTCGGCTCAATTGTGATCATAAATCAAGGACTAGTTGTATTCTAAAACCCCTGGAATGTACCTGTGTGTGTTCTTAAGTGCCGTTCCATGTCTTTCATTCCATATGATGTCTTGAACTGACACCCTGGAGGGAGAAGAGAAGTAGAAAAATCAATTAATAGGAACCCTTTTTAACTGTCAGTTCCTACAAATGATGGATCTCCTCTTTTCCCAACAACCAGTGGGGCATATTAAGCAAAGAGGTGGGGAGACCCAGAGCTGGCTGGAGATTTGCTCCCAACCCAATCTAACCCCAGCACCACTACCATACATGATTTTCAGATAGTATTTGCTCTTCCTGCTAAGGCAAACAGAACATTTCTGTTCTCCTAAAAATGGCTGGAAGAACATGCAGTGACTTCCAAGGAAGAATGTGGTTTCTGGTAAGGAATCAACAAGCCATAAATGAAAAAAAAAAACCCACATCTAAAACATGAAGAAAATCATTCTTTCGTGCGGTGGGGGGAGATTTGAGAGAAAGAGAGAGAGATTATGTCTTTTCACTGTGGTAGAGAAACAGAGTCTAATTTTCCAGTTTCTTGTAGTGGAAGAAAAGTATTTGAACACTGGGAAATACTTACGCAGTCCCACTGGAGCAGATGTCCTGCTGAAAGCCTAATTAACAGGCTGCACAAATATACCTTAGCAGAAATGAGAATGTTCAACTTGTAATTATTTAAGAAAGAAAAAAAAAATTACAATTGGGCAGCTGCCTTGGGTATCGATAGCAAATGATCTTTACAGAATGGATTCCAATTTTCTTTGGAAAAGCAAAAGAATGAGAACCACCAATCAGAGTGATGCATTCTTGACTCACCTAGACGTCACCGCCCAATTGTTGGCTACAATAAAACGAAGAGGGAATGGAGAGTCTGAATAACTGAGATCTAAAACCTTAAAACCGATGCCATTTCTTCTTGGAACAGAAGGAAGGCACAGACACCTGTTGCTTTCTGTGAAACATCAAATTCATCTTAGTGATGAATGACTGCTGTGGATGAAGAGCTTCTAAATTGGGAAGATTGCACTTCCCCTCCCCCCTCTGACAAATAAAGTTCTGATATTTTCCATGCTGATGACTGCTAGTTATTTGCTTTTCCGGGAAAAATGCTTGAGGGGTGACAAATGTAAATGCTCCAGAACAAATGGAATAGTACAAAGATTTCAAATTTCTCAGCAACTGTATCTTCTCTGCTTCCTACAGGTGCTGAGACTTTGAGGTTGGTCAGTGATGTTTTAAGAGACCCCACTGGGGGACTGCCAAAGAGAAAGTTGATGAATGATGTAGGATTTAGACACTACGCTTCCAGATCTGAATCCATCCAACTTTACCAGTTCTTTATGCAACTGAATATGTCGTAGTCACAGTCAGCTGAAATGCTGGGTGAATTTCCACCCAGACTAACCTCCCTCTGATAACCTCCCTTGTGATAAGAAAATATTAGATATTTATGAGCATACGTGGCTACGTTTATCCCTCAACAGAAAAACAAAGGGACATTCAAGTAATACAAGAAGCTAAGGAAAACTCTGTATAGTTTCAGATATTGATGCTATGGATATTCTTCCAGCATTGAATGCCTGGGATTATCCTGTCAATATTTACAATATGTTCCATGTCAAGACTGATATTTGGGGTCACTGGAATTGAACAAGGAAGTTACAGTTTCTTCTTGCTAGTCTTGAGGAAAGCTATCAATGCAGTGAACTGTGTCTCAGATCCTGGAGTCTGGCTATTGTCATGACATCTATACCTCTGAGAATATGACTGACCTGACAAGTTTCTAGAGTGAGTTTATCAAAATGATGATCTTAGCAGCAGAGTATCATTCTGTATCTATCCATACTTGGACATCATACTGATCCATTCTTCCTTTTGTATTCAGGGATGGAAGGTTACCTGGAAACCTGATGAGAATTTGTTTTTAATTTAAGATTGTATATCACCTAAAGTCACTTGCTGCCATGCAAATTGATTGACTGAATAAATGAAACTGTATAATAAAAGTCTTTTTGTCATGACCTTTAACTGGATGAAACAGTGCATCACAGGGCAACAATTTTTGAACCAAGATACCTCAGATGGGCTAACTAATAGATTTGTCCAAAATTCAGAAGCCATGATTCCCGAGGAAAAGAAATTCGGGAAAGTTGTGACTGCTTCTATGTTACTGGTTGCTGTTGTGGTCACGTGCTTTCATTCTCAATGTCCTCTGATAGTTTCTTAGACAATCTTGTAATCCTTCCCATCTAGCAACAGCCACCTTCTTGCCTGGTAGGTAGGTAGATAGGTGGGATGGATGGATGGATGGATGGATGGATGGATGGATGGAAGGAAGGAAGGAAGGAAGGAAGGAAGGAAGATTTCCAAAGCTCCCTGACAGAGTCCCACAAAGAAACTCAAGGGGGAAGCCAGCAGGAAGTTGAAAGTCACTCCTGCGTCTACTGATTTTTTGCCTGCCCTTGGTCATTTCTGTTTCTTTGTTTAAATAAGGAAATAAATCTAAAACAATGACCCAACTGGGCACAGATTGTTTGATGAATAAATAAAACACTTCAAATTCTGAAGCAGTTTCATTTTCTAACAAAAGTGGAAAAGAACCATTCACTCTTGTGATAACCACAGAATCTGGACATTAGTAACAGCTTCTGGACATGAGTAATTATATCCAAATGTATCACCTGAACTGCACACCACCCATAGTGGCATCAGCCATAAAAGCTGCAGCTTTGGCCAAATTCACCACCAGCCTAAATTCTCTTGGAAATAAACTTCAGTAGCTTTTTGAATCAATAACATCCTTATGACCAGAAGCAAGATCTCCTTCTGTAGGCAGTTATACTTTTGGATTCTTTTAGGAATTTGGATAGAGCTCTCCCAGCAGGGTGGATAAAAATCAATGATTTTTTTAAAAAAATCAAAAAAAAAAGATTTTTTTGATTTAAATCGGATTTTTTTTATTTTTATCGAATTTATTTTAATAAAAAACTTTTGGGGTAAAAATCTATCGCAATATAGTTTTCTATTTAAGATACATAAATAATTTAGTTTATTCAGCATGAAATGGAGCTTAGTTATGTAGCATGAGGCTGTATATTCTGCAACACTGGGACTATCAGTGAGTCAACAGCGGGTCAAAGGAGTAGCAGAGATGACAGTTGCTCTTTAAAAATTATGATTTAAATCGAGTTGATTTAAATCAAGCCTTTTTACTAGTGATTTAAATCATGATTTAAATTGTGATTTAAATCAACTCGATTTAAATCAAATCCACCCTGTCTCCCAGTGATGGTTCCAGCCATCATATACATTTTCTGACATATTATAGAGCACACATGTAATGCCTGGCAATTCTCAGCCAGGGCAGAAATACTTTAGAAGAAAAAAAAGAAAAGAAAAATAGAGCAGAACTCTCAGTAGCATCCTGCGCTCGTTTGTTTTACCAGTCAAGGAAAAGAACAAACCCCTTGTAGGTTGTCTTTTACCATTGTAGAAAAAAAAATTGTCCTCAGTTCTTAAGAGAAAAGGAAATAAATTCCTTCTACTGTATTTCTTTTCTCATGCTATGATTCTAGCTACCTGAGCAGGGCTTTTTTTTTTTTTGAGTCTAACATGCCTTGACAAACTTGCCTTGAGTTTAAATTGCCTTGACAGCACTCCTTCAGAGAATGGAGCTATGGATACAGAAACCTGGTTTTCTATTTCTGGTTTGGTCTACCATTGCCCACTATTGTAGTGTTGCAAGCGAGAGGCCATGACAATGAACATGGGGGAGGAGGCTATGTTTCTCCAAGATAAGCAGACCAGGGTGAAAGAGATTAATTCATTTAAATCCATGCACCAAGCATCGCCGTCGAACAAGGATTTGAACCTTACTGGATTAGCCTATTGAGTCCTTTCCTCAGGTGGTCGGCTTGAAATGTAAATGCTGCTTGAGAGTAAAAATGGGAGTGGGGAGGGGGAGAGATGCAGCATAAATTTCAGTCAAATTCTCAAGCCAAGACAGGTTTGACTATATGTTCTAATGAAGTTAATTGACTTAATCACACATGGAAGGTTATTTTTTTCCCTCCTCCTTAGGCCGCATGATCAATGGCAACCTAAATTAATTTTAAAAACTGCTTCCATGAATCTTCTTGGAACTTTGTGGCAATGTCACTGAGTAAAATTAATACAAGCGATGCCAATTTATTTCCTCATTCCGTCTCAGAGAGCAGCAGATCAATGGGCAGAAAGTAAATACAATGCAAAGAACAATTCATAACTGCTAAGTCCCTTGAGGTCCTGTAAGGCTTCTAAGGAAAAAAAGAGAAAAAAAAACCCAACAAGAAGAAAGAATCTCTCTGAGGGCTTACATTTACTGATTTGCATATAATACAACCATGCTTTTTTCGAAGGTCAGGCATGCTTGTGTTTTTGTGCAGAAAAGGAACGGGTAGATTTGTAGGAACCTACTGATGTAGTTCCATAAAAATCCTGTGTTTTTTTCTAATTACGGACTGAATGTGTCAACAGTTGCAATAAAGTTTAACATTTCAATTCTCCATCTCAGTTTTTTCAATGGAAACATGGCCAAATGGAATACACTAGATGGGATAATCTCCTGATGACTGGATTAAAACAGTATACAAGTGTCGCTTCCTTTTCCTAGAATCTCTTTTGACTTCCCAGTCTAGACTAATAATTAGGATTTCCTACCGCCCTTCTCCCGAAGGACTCAGGGCGGTGTACAGCCAAGATATAAAAGTTAAAAACAATTTAAAATTATTAAATAGTTTGGCCAATAATCTAAAATAAAATAACCCATTAAAATAATATTTTAGGCCAGCCCTGCTTGATGGAATAATAGTGTTTTAAGGGTGCGGCGAAAGGTACGAAGGTCAGGAATCCGACAAATCTCCGGGGGCAGCTCGTTCCAGAGGGCAGGTGCCCCCACAAATCAGCCCCCCTTCCTTCCCTGATTTTAAGATCAGTCCCCCCCCCTTCCCTTGTGAGCTTCCTGGTGCCAACTGCATAAGAAAAGTGCATGTTACCTACAGAATTCATTGACCCATGCTTAATTTGGGCTTGAGAAAGTTAGCTATGCCACTACAGGGAGGTAGCTCCACGATAAAATTCATCCGATGCAAGAGGCAGTCCTCAGGTTTAATTCAATTAGCACCAATCATTAGTTAAGACAGGTGGTGCTCAACTTACGACCAGTCACTTAGCAATCAAAGTTATGACACACCCCAAAAAAGGTACTTATGACCTGGATTCAAAGTTTAAAAGTAACCCCCCCCAAATCACATAATTGCATTTTGAGCACTCAGCAGCCAGCCTGCATTTACAGCTGCTTGCAGCATCCTGTGGTCATGTCACTGTAATTTGTGACCTTTTTTTTGGGTCAAAAACTGGTATTTAATTCCATTTTCCTGCAAAACAACCATTGCAGACAATGGGTTTGCTTGATGACCATTGGTGATTCACTTAATGACAGCACTAAAAATATTGTAGAGTAAGGTTAGTCACATGATGACCGTTTTAACAACCAGCACAATTTACAACCTAATTACTGGCTCAAGTACAGTCTTAAGTTGAGGACTAACTGTAACTTGTGTCTGGAGGATGCTACTCCTAGACAGGGTATATACTACTGCAGGGGTCTCCAACCTTGGCAAATTTAAGCCTGGCGGACTTCAACTCCCAGAATTCCCCAGGGAGTTGAAGTCCGCCAAGCTTAAACTTGCCAAGGTTGGAGACCCTGTACCACTGAGTTATCTGGAACAATGATCTTTGCTCAATATAAGACAGAGCTGACCTCTTCATAACTGAAAGATTCTGTGTCTAGCTTGAGTATAGCAAATATGCAGAAAGTTCCCTTCCTTATAACCGTGTCTTGCTTTTTCTTTTCCAGAGGATTTCCTGTCCAGAGGTTTTCCTTTTGGAAATGCCCTCTTAATTTCAGCCAGTCCATCTCCTTCTTGAGCTAATATGGCCTGAACCTTATTATTTATTTATTTATTTTATTAGTCACATTTTTATGCCGCCCAACTCCCGAGGGACTCTGGGCGGCTTTGCCAGAAGCAACACAACAAGAAGCATCAGGAGAATTTGTCTACATCAATCCATAAAAATAGTTTACTCTGGAAGGTAGTGGAGTATTCTTTATTAGGAGATTTTAAGCAAAGGTTGGATGGTCATGAATTAAAGATGTGTGTATTAATGGATTTTGTCCATCAGCGAAGGAAAGAATTAAATAGCAGTCAAGCGTCTTTTGGCTCCTACTAATTCCATGACCAAAGGTTCCAAGTCACTGAAGCAAGACATTTTCCCACGCTGTTTATGCATGCTGGGATCTAGGTAATTGTGAGCATGGGGAGTGTGCATTTTCCAACTGTTTCAAATACAGCCAGGGACCTTTTTGAAAGAGAAACTGTTTCAACTGTGAAATGTGTTATTTTAAAACTTTTGGAAGCACGAAATGCTAAAATCAGGGGTCTGGAAGTTGAGTCCTGGCAGGCACCTGGACTTATTTTATGCTGGTTTGAGACATTACGCTGCCCATCCCAGCAGCATGTTCAGTCAGAATAAATTGGTTAGGGCAGGGGTCTGCAACCTTAAACACTCAAAGAGCCATTTGGACCTGTTTCCCACAGAAAAGAAAACACTGGGAGCCACAAAACCTGAGTGGGCGTGGCCAACTTGACATCATTCACTTCCACCAGTCACATGACCCCCATAGCCATGCCTACCCAGCTGGTCATTAGGGCAGAGAATCGGTTGTTAAAAAACACCGGGAACCACAAAACCCTTTTGACATCTCTCTCTCTCTCTCTGTCCCTCCCTCCCTCTCCCCCACTCTCTCTGTATCTCTCTATGTCTCTCTCTCTCTCTCTCTCTCTCTGTGTATCTGCCCTGGTTGCTTCTCCGTCCCCTGCCATTGCCCTTACCTTCTCAGGCCAGGCGAGGAGTGACTGGGAGGGGAGGGCAAGGGCCTGGGCCAGCCAGTGGTGGGATCACTTGACAGGGAGCCGCAACAGAGGGCCCAAAGAGCCGCATGCGGCTCCGGAGCCACAGGTTGCTGACACCCGGGTTAGGGGAATCTGAGTAGGCAGAGAGCCATTGGAATGTGCCAACTCCTGAAATTCTTAGGGGGATTCCTGCACTAACCTCAGGATTTCTTCCCCGAAGTGTGTGGCAATATGTTGATGAAGATTCTCAGTCATCCAGATACAGCTGTCTGGAAGTTGAGTCATGGCAACTTGACTTAATTTTCTTGCCGGTTTGAAGAAATCCCGAGGTATCCTCCTAAGAATTTTAGGAGTTGGCACATTCCAACGGCTCTCTGCCTACTCAGATTCCCCTAACCAACTTATTTTGGCTGAGGAAGCTGCTGGGAAGGCAGCAAAATGTCTCAAACCAGCATAAAATAACGATCAACAAAAGAACCAATCAGCTGCTCAGAATTTAAATATAGCTCCAAACAAACAAACAACCAGAGGACCAACTGACCACACTGGCACAAAAGACATTTATAAATTAAGGAGAACAGGACAAGATAATCCTGCTGATGATGTTACCTAGTCTGATAACGAAACGTTCAGAAACTAAACTGAAACAAGCTTGGAGAGCAAAACCACTGCCAAAATCTAAAACCTGAGCTACAAATATTTTCTATTAAAATAAGTCCAGATGCCGTGACTCAACTTTCAGATAACTCTGCCTGGGTGACTGAGAATCTTCATTGTCATAAAAGCAGGGATGTTCCTTGAAACGGATCCAGATTGATTAAAAAAGCCTTATTTCGCCCTCAGATTTGGGACATTTGGAAAATTTCGATCTGGAAATATTTGGAAACAAAACATATTGGATACACCCCCCTTTCCCCCAGCACTATCTAAGGCCTTTGCTACTCAATTCTTGTCTGGAACCATTATGTGACTCGAAATACCATTTTATGAAGAAGTTCCCCTCCCCCCTTCCATGGTAGCCACTGTACTCACAACGTATTTTCAAAATGCCAAGGGTGCCCTCTGCCTCCTCCTTCCATTCAAAAATATATTTCTGATTTACCCACTGGTTTATCCTTTACCTGGGTAGCTGCAGTTGAATTTCTTCTGTGCCACTGATGTGTTGGACTTTTTGCTGCGTGATTTCGGTGGAGTGGTAACAAGAGTAGCTGTCCGAGGTTCACTGTTCTCACCAGACAGGTACGTTTGGTAGCCATGCTCAAAAACGAACTCGGGTGCCGATACTGATAAACATAAAAAAAGCTTTCATTTTAGGATTCCCAAATGTTGAAAACCCTTTTCATATTGCTACCTAACTGTATACGAATTGGTGGCAGAAAAATCTTTCGTGCACTCAGTGCAACCTTTGCAGACTTTCTATTGATCAAATGTTTTTATGTTCAGTCTACATTCCTATACCCAATCAACAAATCATAGCTATGTTATGTATAAGAGATGACCAGGATTAGGTCAAAGGTGGGGATCAAATGCATCATCAGCCTGGAATTCCAAATGGGATCTAAGTCCAGCCACCCCCTCCCTTGAAATCCGCTGATCTTCTCTTATCTGCCGCTAATTTGCTGACTGCTGGATCAGATTTTTGCATAGGCTGCTTGGAATAAATTCATAGTGCTTTTCAATTCTATCCTGACTCCTGGCTTCTTGACAGTAAGGCATTAACGGCAGGGAAGAAACCAGGAGGTTGAGATAATATTTTCATTCTTTTCTTTTTTTAAATTTTTTTTTAAAAAAGTTTTTTATTTATAATACAAATTAAAAACAATGGACATAGCATGACATCTCCGGTATAAACATTTTCATCAAATTTTGTCATATAATTGATACACTTCCTTATCTCTATACATATTTACACCAATTATCACATTTTGAATACATATATTCTTTCATCTATATAGATTATTTCGATATCTAATTCAGTCATATCTATCATAACAAATTAGCATAAAAACTTCCAAGCATGGTCATCGTCAATGGTCCTATATCCCAGCATTTCTCCTCCTTTCCAGCCAATAATAAAATTTGTTCCAGATTTCATAATACTCTAATTCATTCTTATCTTTAAGGTCAGTCTGTCCATTTCCAGGCAAATTAATATTTTAGCTAATACTTCTTCTTCTGTAGGGATCTCTTTGTTTTTCCATTTTTGTGCAAAAGCTAATCTTGCTGCTGTTAGAATATGTAACATTAGGTAAATTGTGCTCTTGTTGTAATTTGACCTCAGTAATACCCAGTAGAAAGAATTCCGGTTCTGCTTCTATATTTCGCATTAGTTATCCCCTCTATCCATTGTCTTATCTGGTGCCAAAATTTTGCGGCTTTTGGGCACTCCCACATGTCATAAAATGTCCCTGGCACTGCCTCATACTTCCAACACATCGAGGAATGTTTTTTGCTTATTTTTGCTAATCTTGTGGGTGTGAGATAGTATTTTCATTCTTGATCACTTCATTGCCTATCCCGAACACGGGATGGGCATAAAGGGAAGTGTAGAAGCTGACAAGTACTCTTTGCTTAAACAATGGTAATTGGGACCAGGAACTTCATCACTTCATAAAGCATGACATCCATGTAACTGCGCTGATTTATGACGGCAGTTCTGGCAGTCCCATTTGATGTTCTTAGGCAAACCTTGAGCAGTCTCAGGGCCCATGGGTATGTGATTGCCATTTGCGATCTCTTGCTGGCTTTCAACATTGTTGTCAGTGAAGGTCGCAAATGGTGATCACATGCCCACCAGATGCTATAACGTAACTGCAAGTTGGATACTGAGCACCTGAATTGTGATCATGTGACCATGGGAACACTGTGTTCTGCCCCAGCTATGGACCCCAAAGAACGCAGCACACAGAAACTCTATACAAAGCTTATTTTACTCAAATAACTTAGTCTTTATCATTCAAAGGCTGTTAATGAACTGTCTTAACAGCCTACCAGAATTCTAAGATAAGGTAATCACAGTCTTACTAGAGTTGGCAGAAAGCCCAGAAGCAATTTTGCAGACACGAAGGAGAGTGAACTAAAGTTGTTCTCTACAGCTTGTTGCAAGCGCCGTTCCTTCTTAAATAGGCTAAGGGAGTGGCCAATTAGCCCCAAGCCTTACTTACTCCTGAGGAGCCACTCCTGCCTTTTGGCAGCTCTACGTGCCGTGCATTGAGAAGATGCTCCTCCTCTTCGTCCTTTTCACTTAAAGGAGCTTCTGGAGGTTCTGAAGGCCCTGGCTGAATCCTGCCTCTGGCACCACATCTTCTCCAGCCTCTTCACTGTCCGACTCGAGCGCCAACTGCACAGGCTGCTGGGGCAGCACCACACCAGTCTCCTCGTTGTCGGAATCAGCTACAATCTGCACAGGCCGCTGATGGGCCACAACACTCTGCAACAACTGTAAGTATGAGGATCTGTCATAAAAACCCCACGTTCAGTACCACTGTAACCTCAAATGGTTGCTGAATGAGTGGTTCTTAAGCAAGGACTACATGTACTTGTACTTGCCAAACAATTTCTATTTCTCCAGCTAGCCCAACAGTCTCAAATTGTTCTTTGGGGCTTATTTTCCAATATGGAGATAATTTAATTTTTTTTTTCCAGAAACATTTTCAAATCGTCTCTTCCTGTCCTCAAGAATGGAACCTACAAATGTCATACAGGTGTCATACTGAGCCACATACCCCTACAGCTTTGCCACTCTTGCTGCTCATTGAGATGTGGGGCAGACTTCCTTCATTTTCACTGAAGGTGCCAGAAATTAAACCACGAAGCTTCAGTGTGGTCCTTTGTCTTCAAAATGAAGCTACCTGCTTCTTAGACATCACTTTCCAAGCTTTCTAGGTAAAATACCTGTGATGGTTTGTGTTTCTGATGTGATGGTTCTTGCAACTGTTTGTGCTTGTGAGGCTGGCACTGTTTCTTCAGCCACAAACTGCACTGTACTGGTAGCTCCAGCTGTTGTGCCAGAAAGCTGACAACCACTCCTTTTGTGACCAACAAAGGCATCAAGATTGTTGAATTGTTGTTTGCAGAGACCACAAATGTGGATATCTGGAGTGAGCTCCACAAGGACTGTGGTTCCACCAGGAACTGCCAAAATACATGAACCAAACAGTTAATGACTCTCAAATAATATTAACAGACACATTCTATATTCAGAAGCTACTGAATACATGTTCGATGAACTTTTTAAAAACCGACTTCCAAAAGATGCAGTGTAGCCAGTAACATCATTATATCATCAGAGTGAGCTGTGAAGGAAGGTAGAGCTAACTTTGGGAAAAGGGAAGGAGTAAGGGAGCTATTTGTAGAACAGTTTAGCCCCGAAAGAAGAAATCGTATCAAGGAAGCTCAAAATAGCCTGCCTTGATTTTGTCCAATACAAACAGATTCTGTTATTTCACATTACTACAATAAGGCAGTGTTTCTGAAGCTTGGCGACTTTATGTAGACTTCAACTCCCAGAATTCCCTAGCCAGAATCTTAAAAGTTGCCACATTGTAAAAAAATGTATTTATATTAGCATGTGTATCCCATGTTTTCTCATCTTTCTTTTTTTTTTTTTCTCATTTTTCTTAATTTGCCTATAATGTTACACTTTGGTTCAGAATCCCAAGTTAATGTAGAATAGATCGACTTTTATGCAACTGGTATGATGACTCGCAAATAGATGCTGGGATAATAAAACTCTGTATAAAAACAACGGGGATGGGGGCGGGGCTGTAGCCCTTCAGATGTTGGTGAACAATTCCTAGCCTCCTTCACCATTGCCCGCCCTGGATGTGGTTGCTGAGATTTGTCCTTCAGCAACATCTGGAGGTCTTCCCTTTCTTGTCTCCGATCTAAACTTCTGCTGCCAAAAACAGATTATTATGCAAAATGACGACCTTCCCATGCTTAAACTTGCCTCCAGAAGTTGTGAATGCTCCAACAGTGGAAGTTTTTAAGAAGAGATTGGATGTCTGAAATGCTATAGGGCAGTGTTTCTCAACCTGCTGGCTGGGGGATTCTGGGAGTCGAAGTCCACCCATCTTCAAGCTACCAAGGTTGAGAAACACTGCTATAGGGTTTCCTGCCTAAGCAAGGGGGTTGGACTAGAAGACCTCCAAGCTCCCTTCCAACTCTGTTATTCTATTCTAAAAACAAAACAAAACCAGTATTTCCTAACTGGATGCCAATGTTTATCCAAGGCCATATTGTCTGGGGATAATGTCAACTGCAGTCCAAACTCTCCGGAGGGCACCCCTAGGACAGGCAAGGCCGTACGACAATCATCTGGAAAAAGATGCATCACAATTGAACCGCAAAAGCTTCCGTGGCACGCAGCCAGGTTTATTTATTTATTTATTAGTTCCATTTATATGCCGCCTTTCTCCGAAGACTCAGGGCAGGTTTAGGAAGAGGCCTCCATTCTCTGCAAGTCTTAGTCGGCAAGTCTTAGACCAGGGGTGAAATCCAGCAGGTTCTGACGAACCGGTTGCGGACATTTTGAGCAGTTCGGAGAACCGGTAGCAGAAATTTTGGGTAGTTTGGAGAACTGGCCAACAACACCTCTGGCTGGCCCCAGAGTGGAGTGGGAATGGAGATTTTGCAATATTCTTCCCCCAAGAGTGGGGAGGGAAGGGAGATTTTGCAGTATTCTTCCCCTGCCATGCCCACTAAGCCACGCCCATAGAACCGGTAGTAAAAAAAATTGGATTTCAACCCTGGCGCGGACCCTCCTTAAGAGGCTTGAACCGGGCAGGTACCCGGGACTTGGGGGCAGCTTGCACGCTTCGCACATCCACGGCAAGGGTTGCATTGCACCGGCTTCCTCGCTGCCCCTCCCCCTCCCCCACGTCTTGCAAATAAACGATTGCAGCAATTGAGCGCGTCGTTTAGAAACCCCGCTTTCTCCGAACCGCCGGGCGCCTTTTACGCGCAGCCGTGCCACCCCGCGGTGCGCCTCCTCGGATCCGCTCGCTTGCACTCTTCCACCCAGGTTCCGGGGCCCGTAGCCGCTGCTCAGCCAGATTCCCGGGCGGGCCGAGCGCTCGCTTCTGCCGCTACTCAGGTTGCGGGGCCCGCCTGTGCCTTACACACAACGTCGCTTTTCCAACTCCCCGGCCCGGGAGCGCGGATATAAGCCGCGCGGCACAACTTACATTGCACGGGACTGGAGAAGGGCTGAGCGGCCGCCGCGCTCGAGTTCATCCTGGGTTCCGCGGGGATGCGCGAGCCGAAGCTGCCTACAAAAGGGAAACATGCAAACAAGCAAACAAAGGGGGCAAAATTAAAAAAAAAAAAAAGCCTCTTTGCTTCAGCCCCCCCCCCCCTCCGCAAGCCCTTAAGGCGGGGACGGATATGGGCCTGCCGAGCATGCTCCGTAGAAAAAGCTGAAGCCGGCGGAGCTAGTCTTTCTGCCCACAGAGCGAGCAAGCGTTCCCTTTTTTGCGGTTGTCTATGACTCTGGTGGCGTGTTACTTAAGAGGAAGCCTATTAGATTTGCAGGAGGCTCGCTTCCAAATAGGTTCGCGTAGGCACGCGGTTCTTTCGGCGTTCCATGTTTCTCCTCAGTGTGATTTAAAAAACAAAACAAAAACAAATGTATAATAGTTTTTCTTTCATGGTGTAACATCACCAAAATAGCCATATATGATGATAGATAGATAGATAGATGCAGACAGAAAGACAGATGCAGACAGACAGACAGGCAGAGGATAGACAGACAGAGAGGCAGTTGCTGTGGGTAGGTAGGTAGGTAGGTAGATAGATAGATAGATAGATAGATAGATAGATAGATAGATAGATAGATAGGCAGGCAGACACAGATAGACAGACAGACAGATAGATAGATAGATAGATAGATAGATAGATACACCAATAATCCAGAAAGTAAAAAATAGAAACTATTTACATATTCTTATATACAAATTTACATTTCCAATACTTATTGATTACCATAATTATACCATCATCTATAATTATAATCCAACATTATCCTTTATCTCTCTCCCATCGTTTCTGGATCCAATCATACCACATGTTCCAACTACTATAAAAATCTGAGTCTCTTTTACCCTTGATCAGTTTTGTAAGTCTGTCGGACTCGGCACATTCCATGATTTTATAACTTATTTTTGAGTCCGTTGGTAAGTCCTCATTCTTCCATTGTTGTGCGAATGCCAGTCTCCCTGTAGTGATTATGTGCAGCATCAGATACCATTTAGTCAATCCAATATTTGCGGGTCGAACCCCCAACAGAAAGGTTTCAGGTTTCAGTTCCATTCTACAGTGTGTAATTTCCTTGGCGTGATTTAAATTAGTTGCCGCTAGAATACATTAATTTATACGTGACTCACCCCCCCCCATCCTGAAGCGGTTGACCATCAGCAGTTGAAAGACAAAACTCTACCTAAAATGGCACAAAGCAAGCCTAAGTTGTAGTTCAGCAAAGGAAGAAGAAAAACAAAAGTGAAAGAAAAGCTATTGCTACAGGAAGGCCTGTATGAAGTGGTAGGTCTTTCACAGGTGTAGATTCCTGCAAATTTGCAGGAAATGTTCCCTATTTCAGAGACCACAGATAGGCGGGCCCTGAGTTATCCTGCGGCAACACTGGTTCTCAGTACCTGCACAGGACTTTTCCAGACAATACTGACCATCTGCTGGATTTTATAAAGAGCAAGGCAATTTGCCAGGAAATCTAGTTGCTTAGAGACTGGTATGCATGGAGCAAAACCTTGAATAAAGGTGCCTGTTTCTGCTAGAGTGCACAGTGTACAATCAGAATCCCAGTCTGTTCTGCAATGGTGGCAACCTATGGTCCAAATTACAGGATTAGCACAATTTCATTCAGTAGTGTCTGCAGGGGAGTCAAGACGGGGACAGAATGATAATAAAGCAGCCTCTTGCCATCACTAGCCAATACCTGCCATTTTTAGATTTGTGTCGCGATGCACACCTACCTAAATCTTACGGCATGGCAACATAATGCTGCTTTTTATTTTGACAAAAACAAACTGCAGATATTTATGAATTCTATTTATTTTTATTTGTTAAGCTTCTATACCGCTCTGGGCAGTTCATAATCAAAACAAATGACAGTAAAATCCAATTGCAGCAATAGGAAGGAAAAAAAGAGAATTCATGGCAAGAATGACAAATCAAATGGAAATGAGGCAAGATAGTCTCACTCTTCCTTATCAAAAAAAAAAAAAAGAAAGAAAGAAAGAAAGAAAGAAAGAAAGAAAGAAAGAAAGAAAGAAAGAAAGAAAGAAAGAACAAAAAGGTATTTGACACCATGGAGATGTTACCGAAGATGCCATGATTTTACCAGGGATTGGTTTTTTTTTTGTAGGGTAGGGTAGGGTAGGGTAGGGTAGGGTAGGGTAGGGTAGGATTATTTATTGGCCAAGTGTGATTGGACACACGAAGAATTTGTCTTGGTGCATATGCTCTCAGTGTACATAAAAGAAAAGATACGTTCGTCAAGAATCATAAGGTACAACATTTAATGATAGTCATAGGGAACAAATAAGCAATCAAATCATATTACGAAACAGTCAATATAAATCTTAAGGATACCAACAACAAGATAAAAAAAAAAGCACTAGCTTTTCAAAGGTTTTCATAACTACAGATGTTAGAGCAACTGGTCTGTAGTCGTGCAGTTCTTTGATGGTGGGCTTCTTCGGTACTGGGATGATAGTAGAGCGTTTGAAGCAAAAAGGAACATAGCACTTCTCTAGCGATTTATTGAAGATACGGGTGAAGATGGGGGCCAATTGGTCAGCACAGACTTTTAAGCAAGAAGGAGTTATCTTGTCTGGGCCTGGAGCTTTTCCTGGCTTTTGTCTGTGAAATAGATTAGCAAGGTTTATTTTTTGTATAGTTGAACACTATGGAAATTGTGCTTAAAGCTTACAGATCCATTTTCTCCCTGAAAAAATTAAATGGCTGATACAGGTTTTCCACATGTTTTAAATGAATGAAATGGCACCCATTTTGCCTCTTAACTCCAGTTACAAAAAAGACCACACCAACATGTTTTGCTTCCTATGCACAAAACTCTTCTCATTTCAGGACTGCTTTGGGGCTGCATAAGACATTCTATGAAATCACCTGCAGCCCATGGATTGTATGTGGCCCATCCCTGTGCCAAACCATAACAGATTCAGTTTGATTTGGCTTCATTGCCATGGATGAGTTTAGTCATGGTGGCCTATTACTATGGTTCAGATATGGCTTAGGGGGTCAGGTCAGCCAGTGGCTGCAGAAGTGACCTGTGCCTTGATGTGATAGAAGAAAATGGTGAAATCTTAAAGGGAAATTAATTTAATTGGTATTGCCTTAAGGTTGTAATGGATGGTGGCCACAGCACTAAATAACCTTGGCTAATCCAGCTTGATTGAACCCAATTGCAGTTGCTGGTTTATGGAACAGCCTCCTCTCCATTCTGAGATTCAAACTGTTCTGGCCTTCTGGGATACTTTTCTCCCAGGCATCAGAGTGAGGGTTTTACAAGAACCTAACACATGTTTTTGTGTTGAGAATTAATTATGAGTGTCTTGGCTACTGTATTATGAAAATTTATTGTATTTTTTGTTCTGTTTATTGGGAGTTTTATCATATATTTTTTGTTTTGGGTCCATAGACTGTTAGCACTTCAGAGTTATTTAAAATGGGTACCAACGTAAGATTTCTAAATAAATAAATGTATCAATTCATTCAATTTATATTCAAACACTTGAATGAGAGGCAACTAGAAACTGGTGTTCCTGTGAAGTCACCAGGAGTCAAGCTCAACTTGAGAAGAAGGAAGAAGATGAAAGTTAAATTTAAATTTAACAATTTAGATAGCAGCTAATATAGAATAACGCCCAGTAGTTAACATAATAAAGAATCTGAAATGTGGAAATGAAGGGAAATCAACTGGCAATTAAAATAACTAAAAAGATTCTAGAAAACAATCCTCAGTAATTCGTAATTATATTGATGAATAATGACAAATACCATAAACAAATGCATTGTGCATAAAATTAATTATGTTAAAAGAATAGCTAATCTGTCTCTGTGTTGATAACATATAATTATGAAGATGCTTTCTTGCATGTTTTTAAATAATGTCATTTGAATTCATAATTCAGAGTAGGTATTTTGACATTTAATACATGTTGCAATTTATACATTTTTTTAAATATAATTGCACTGTGCCACATTAAAAGAATCACAGCTTACTCGGAGATATTTCCTACCAGCATATGAACAGTGAAATAATAGTATGAAAACCTATTCTTCAACACTACAAATTGACAACAAGGAATCATCCTCCCACAAAAGCATTTTTCTTTATAGGTTGCTCTTTCTATTATACTAATTAACTTTCGTATAAAATTTGTGGGACATTTTTCAAAGATCTCTGAACAACTACCAGCACCGTTTATTTTCTTTATTGTTGTACTCTGTATGCCCCCATTTTCCTTCAGAAGCAAATAATGGTATGCAGTATTCTTCTATTTTACTTTTATTCCCTGCGGAATAGATTTGCTGAAAGATCATGATTGGCCTAACATCAGCCACCCATGTTGAGTAGAATTTGAACGTAGCTTGTTTTTTAAAAATCCGCTATTAATGATAAAATCTCATGTCCAAGAAGGTTTTAGCTGGTGCAGATAAAATTCACACTTTTATTCATCCATGACTCAAATGCATGAAAATTAATCCAGTTATGTGAATATTGCACAGATATATTGTGTAGAATGTGTTAGAGGCAGTCAAAATAAATGGCCAGCACTCTCTGATGGGTAAAAAGGAAACAAGAGCCCTTCATATTTGCCCAGCTAAGTAGCATCATCTAAACATTCTTGACTGATCTTGAAAAATTAAGCAAGATAAGACCTTAATGTTTGAGTGAAATTACAGGGCTATAGCCTCAACTGAGAAATTGATAAGGTATCCTGTAAAGCAGTTGTAAAAACAAACTTCCACATTACTGCCAAGAAAGTTACATGGGTGTGTCTTTGTAGCTCTTCAAGAGTCAAATCCCATTTGAAAGAGAACTTATTTGTCATTCTAATTAGCACATGACATACTGGTCAACAGAAAATAAGGCTTGCACAAGGAGTATAAGCAGACTTGTCATGTAGGAGATCAGCATGAATATTGGGTCCATTCTGGTTCCAAGAACTGGATCCATGCTGAGAATCATCGTCTCATTTGATACTCAGAAGCACTGAATTCCAGGATATTTCAGAGCCTTCAAACAGTTTTCTTACATCTTCACATGTGCTACAGATTTCACCAATGGGCCATTTC